CCTGGTGGTGCCCAGAGTGGCCACCAGGGAAAGCTGGAGAGGGCTAGCCTCCCACTAGTTCGAATTAAGTGGCTACATAGCCCTTAATTCGAACTAGTTAATTTGAACTAGGCGTTAGTCCTTGTGGAATGAGGTTTACCTAGTTCGAATTAAGTCCTCCGCTAGTTCGAATTAAGTTCGAACTAGCGGTTTGCATGTGTAGCGCCTATCAAAGTTAATTCGAACTAACGTCTGTTAGTTCGAATTAACTTTGTAGTGTAGACATACCCATAGAGAGCAGAGCTGCTGCTTGTGTCCCAAAGCTATCCGGGCCCATATGCAGCTAGCCTGTTTATGGCAATGGTGATGCCAAAGTCACTGTGGAGTGATGTGGGGAAGAGTTCTACCATCCCTAGAAACCTGTGGAAGAGGACTGCAAAGTATGTCCATGGAAGTTTCATTGTTGTCTCCCATCAGGATTCAAGGGTACATACTGATCTGCCTGTGCCTCCCACCCACGCCCATATCTCCTCGGTCCCTGGCTAAGTCTACAGGGGAATGAAAAGCAGATAATAACTGTGCATCTTTGTGTTCTAGTGCCCTACAACATTGGGGTCAGTGGCATCTGCTCTTTTAAGCATTATAATATAAGGGTGGGCTAGATGTGACATGCCAAACCACTGTCTCTAGCCTGCCATCATCCCATGGCCCAATGCTCAAAACAGCCAGCTGTGGGGGCTGGGTGCTCTCTGTGCACTGCATGCCCCAGGAGGAGGGAGCTTTGTGCGCTGCCCCCAGCACAATCTTGCCTGGGCTGTGCTTGCAGTGTGTGGCGCTTCCCCCCCACCCACCCAAAGGGCATGCAGAGAGCACATGGCTCCTGCAGTTGGTTGCTTTGAGCGCTGTGGGGGGGCACAGAAGGCAGGGAGTCTGTGCCAGGGTCTGGCTGGACTGCTGGACAGGAACCACCTAAAGTAAGCACCTCCCAGCCGGAGCCTGCACCTTGCATCCCACCCACTCCCTTCCTCTCCAACCCTCTGCTCCCCCCATATACTCCTGCCTTAAGTCACTGCTCAAACCCCTGCACCACCTCCTACATCCCTATCCCAGGTCATAATCTTCTGCACCCATACCTCCTCCCGGACCCTGCATCCCAGTCCTCTGCATCAGGTCACAACTCCCTCCTTCACCCAAACTCACTCCCATACTGCACGCCACCTCCTGCACCTCACTCCCCTACTTTGAGCTCTCTTCTTCATCCATCCTCCATCCCAGACCCTGCACCTTCTCCATTAATATCATGGAAGAGTGCAACCCTTGACCTCTTATCAAATTCTTGGAGGAGCCCTGCCCTCAAAAATTATTGCCTACCCCTGCTGTAATGGGTTACCTGAGGTTCCTTCCCTGACATTGGATTCACTCATGGTCAGTTGCTGGGATTGTCTAGACTGCAGTGGAGTTTTGGAAAGATCCTGTCTTGTGGCATAATTGGATCCTCAGGCTGTATGTCCCTCATTCTCCTTGCTGAGGGAAACAGCAGGAGTCTGTGTCTGTGGCTCCCTGGAGGTATCCAAAGTGCTGGGCAATGGGCAACCTAGGCCAGCAAATGGACCCAGGATAGGGTAGTTTGGCTAATTTCGCTTGCATACCTAGAGTTTGCAGGATGTGCCAAATGAACCATAGCAGCAGTTTGAATGCAGCGGGAGCACATGGCTTTCACAGTCAATGTTGTATGCAGTCAGTACGCCCTTCACTTCATGTGCCCTAGCTGTAAGTGTCTGTCACTACAGTAATACTAGTAGGAAAGAAATTATGCAGACGGAAACCAGCAGAATCATGGGCAATAGTAAATAAAATGTCTCATGGGCTACACATAGAATTCTGATGGGCCACATGTAGTTCTTGGGCCGCAAGTTGCCCACCACTGGGTTGTGTGGTGTCTACACTTGCACTGAATTGACCACAGTGGGTTGACCATGTCTCAATGCTGTTTGGAGGGATGGCATTACTGTGTCCCCATAGGGAGGCACTTATGTTGGCAGGACACCAGTTTGAGTGTAGACATGTACACAAATAGGTTGATGCAAGATGACTTACTTCAAGCTAACTTCACAGAGTGTAGCTCAACCTTAAGGAACTACTCCTTTTATTTTTGGTTCCTCCTGTATTTAGTGAAGGACTTTGTACATTTCTTGCAAGTAAACAAAATTGCATCAAAGACAATACCATCAATTTCTACTGATTGGGTCAAAAAAGTGCACTAATACCATTAGGTTTCCTGAGAACAGCCTCTCTTCCAGCGCAATACTGCTGCAATTAATATCAGTAGAGGTGCTTAAGCTGGAGGGATGGAGATGGAGTGATGTCCATTCATAAGGGAATCTTTGAAACACACTTCCTCCACTGGTCTAAAGCCACATCTTCACTACCAAGAAGATTGACGCTGCAATGATCAATCTTACGGAGTTCGATTTAGTGAGTCTAGTAAAGACCCACTAAATCAAATGCTGATGGCTCCCCCATTGACGCCATTACTCCTTGATTCATGAGGAGTAAGGGAAGTTGCCAGGAGTGTTTGCTCCCATCAACCTCCCGCAGTGGAGATGGCGCTGAAGGTAAAATTAAGGCAAGTCGACTCCAGCTAGGCCATTAACATAGCTGGAGTTGTGTATCTTAATTCAACCTTCCAAGTAAGTATAGACAAGACCTTAGATGGTTTAGAGCAATAGACTTGAAAAGAATACTGGAAATTCTATCTATTTTTCATTTGGGAATTGCAGTGAGAATAATGTTTCTGGGGAAGGTGAAGTGCTTCGTTTCTTAGTTGTGGGTGGCTCTGTTGATTTGTGGACATTTTATTTTATGAAACGTGGCTTTAATTGATGCCATGGGTGCTTTTATATTGCATTCTAAACCCAATGAATATTCACCAAGTACAAATATTCCTTAATTTGTGAGATCTGATGGCGATAAAAAACCCATGGAGTGCCTCATTAATCTGTAGCCATACCATTTTGTGGTATGATCCCAAGAGAGCTTCCCCTGGAGATACAGCATGACTACACTGTCCACTTCACAATGCTGCAGTGGCAGAGTTGTAATGTGGGCAGCATAGACATATGCTTAGACAAGGGGGCGCTCTTAGTGAATAGCTCTTTGTGTGTGAATGAATGTTTTCAAATTTGGGTGACTAAAGTTAAGTGCCTAAATAAATGATACAATTATTTTGAAACAGTTCAGAGTGCCTACAACTCCTTTTAAGTCAGTGGAAGCTGTGGGTGCTCAGCACCAATGGAAACTTGGCACTTAATTATAAACTTAACTTTAGGCTCTTACGTTTGAAGATTTGGCCCTACTGTCAAAAATGGATTGATTAGTTCCTCCCAAAAGAGTGGTGTATAATAATAATAATAATACCTTCACACATTTGACCACACAGAGGCAATTAATTTTGGAAATAAAGAAGGATTGTATAGCCTCTTTTTCAGTTCTGTTTCCAGTTTGTGGGTTTCAGTGGTTTGGGGTTTTTTCACTTGCTAAGAACATTTACATGAAAACAGCATCTGTGTTCTTCAGTTCATTATCTGCGCTTGCTGCTTATGCCTTGCCAGAAGTCATAAGTCTCTGTTTTCAATGGTGGAATCACTTCCATGGGAGCTAGCATGTTATCTAAGAAAGTTTGACACATTTTGGCAGCAAGTACAAAGTGGGAGCAGGTGAACTTTTAAGAACAAAGATCCCTGTTTTCATGTAAACATTGCTAAATACTTTACAAACAACACAAACCTGACACAAAAGTAAAATTGTTTCTATATAGAATTTTTTTCTGAGTTTTTCAGGAGGTTGTTTGGTTAAAGTTTGAAAGACCACTGTTTATGAGGTGATTTGTGGTAAATTTCTCTGAATAAATTTACATTCACAAAATAGTTCTAGTCATGAGTTGCATTAAAATAAACATGGGTTCATTTGTAGATTAAAACTGCTTTCTGAACTATTTGTAACAACTCTTATTTGAAATGTTTCTTTTAAAAATACATGTTTTACTTCTGTCTGTTAGCCCAAACTCGGGAGTGGAAATTACTGTGCAATGTAGAGTTAAAAATCTGAAGTTTTCTTTACAATTTTAGGAGGAAAGAAATCCTAGAGGAAATGTGTAATTATTTACATGCCTTTTTAGGCATCTTTAGTGATTCAGCTATATTTTAGATTTCATTAAATTAATGTCCATCTGAAATGTTAGAAAGTCAGGGAAGCTAAAATGCTGTGACTATTATCCAAAGTGTTTGCCTTTATAGTCCCCAGAATGACAGATGTAAAAATTAAGTGTGAAATGATCTATCTTTTGTCTAAAAATGCTGTCTTTTGATTTCTAGATGCAGACAATAAGAGGAATAGGAATGGAATGAAATCTTCCGCCTTCACGGAAAAAATGGTAATGGTAATTGGAATCCAAGTAGCTGTATTTCAAACCTACCCACCATTGTAGCTAAAGACATGGAGGAATCCACTTTTGTGTTATGAGTTTAGCTGGATTTCAGCAAGAGACTGTGTGAGCATATTTCACAAATGGGAAATCAGGCAATGACTTGAGCCATGCTCACAGGAGTAGCCACATTTAATAGAATCATAGGGTTGGAAGAGACCTTAGGAGGTCATTGAGTCCAACCCCCTGCTTAAGCAGGACCAACCCCAACTAAATCAACCCAGCCAGGCATTTGTCAAGCCAGGACTTAAAAAGCTCTAGGGATGGAGAGTCCATCACTTCCCTATGTAACCCATTCCAGTGCTTCACCACCCTCCTAGTGAAACAGTTTTTCCTAGTATCCAACCTAGACGTCCCCCACTGTAACTTGAGACCATTGCTCCTCGTTCTGTCATCTGTCACCACTGAAAACAGCCTCTCTTCATCCTCTTTGGAAGCCCTCTTCAGGTAGTTACAGGCTGCTATCAAATCCTCCCCTCATTCTTCTCTTCTGTAAACTACATAAGCACAAATCTCTCATCCTTTCCTCATGTACTGCAGCCCTTTAATCATTTTGGTTGCTCTCTGATGGACTTTCTCCAATGCGTCCTCATCCTTTCTGTAACAGGGGCCCCGGAATTGGACGCAATACTCCAGATGTGGCCTCACCAGTGCCGAATAGAGGGGAATAATCACTACTCTAGATCCTTCTAATGCACCCTACTATGCCATTAATCTTTTTGGCTACAAGGGCACACTCTTGACGCATATGCAGCTTCTGCCTCTCTGTAATGCCCAGGTCCTTTTCTTCAGAACTGCTGCTTAGCCAGTCAGTCCCCATCCTATAATAATCCTTGAATTCTTCCGTCCCAAGTGCAGAATCCTGCACTTGTTCTTGTTGAACCTCAGATTTTTTTTGGCCCAATTCTCCAATTTGTTTCGGTCACTCTGAACTGAATCCCTACCCTCCAGCATATCAACCTCTCCCCTTAGCTTAGTGTCATCTGAGAACATGCTAAGGGTGCAATCCATCCCTTCATCCAGGTCATTAATAAAGATGTTGAACAAAACCGGTCGAAGAACAGATCCTTGGGTCACTCTGCTTGACACCGACCGCCAACCAGACATCGAGCCATTGATCACTGCCTGTTGAGTCCAACAATCTAGCCAGCTTTCTATCCACCTTACAGTCCATTTATCCAATCTATACTTCCTTAATATGCTGGCAAGATTACTGTGGGAGACCGTATCAAAAGCTTTGCTAAAGTCGAGGTATATCATGTCCACCGCCTTCCCCATATCTACAGAGCCATAACAGAAGGTAAACAGATCGGTCAGGCATGAGTTGCCCTTGGTGAATCCATGCTGAGTGTTCCTGATCACTTTCCTCTCTTCCAAGTGCTTCAAAATGGATTCCTTCAGGATCCCTGCCATGATTTTTCCAGAGACTGAGGTGACACTGACTGGTCTGTAGTTCCTTGGATTTCCTGTACAGCAGTTTATATTTCCTTACTTCAATCTTGCAATTCCCTTGGAGCAATACATTTCACCTTCACATATACTTTGAGTGGAGCTAATTCTACCCTGGAATCATCTAGTGCAACTGCACTGGAATTGTGGCCACTTAAACCCAGGGCGGTTTTGGCTCTGTGACTGTGATCTTGGCTTATACAGAAAGGTGGTTTGTTTGTTTGTTTGTTTGTTTGTTTGTTTGTTTGTTTGTTTGTTTTTTCCTGATTTGTATTTCTTCTGTAAAGTGCCAGGTCACACGAAAACACATGAGATTCTATGACATCATTGTCTGATATGACAATCAGCCATACTAGGGCAGCAGGATTCTGAAGCATATGAGAAGAGTGATTTTTCCTTAAACATGGAGGATTTAGATAGCCAAATACCGCATTATCATGGGCCAACACCTGGCATCCCTTTATTAGTAACTCACATTCATTTTAGCTATCATTTACTTCATTTGAGAAACTACAATACAACTATATGGACAGATTTTAAATCTTAACCTGAAGGCTCTCTCAACCTAAGACTGCTTCTGGACTTTCATGAAGGCCTTAGGCCAAAACATGTCTGTGGTTTTTGTTTGTAAAGCAGACTTTTCACTCCAATTTATTTAGACTCTCAGGATGATATCCTGGCTTCATTGAAATCCACATCAAAGCTCCTATTGAATTTCATGGGGTTAAAATTCCACCTGAGTGCACTACAAATACATATATGTGATCTATGGATATAAAAAGCTAAAGAGAGCCTCCAACATCCCGAGTTACACCCATGATTATGAAGATATTTAAAATGACAGGATGTAAAAGTTCATTACTTGATTATATTCTAAACACGAAAAATGTGCTGGCACAGATGTTTCAGGGGATGCCACACCGAGCTCAGAGTTCAGGACAAAATCATAGCTCAGTCTTCTGGTTCTCAGCTGGAGAGCAGCACACTGGTTTCTAAAGAGCAGGATACACTTTGTGCATGGTGACAACCCTGCTAACAGAGAGAAGGAGAATTCCTACGTTTCCATGGGAAGACATGTCAAGCTTTCTTCTGTAGACAAATATTTGCTACAACTCCAAAACCTTGATGTTAAAGGCAAACCAAAAGAGGGTGTATGGAGAATCCTCAGCTTTCAGAGTACTATTTTGATTGGTAGACTAATCTTTGTCTATAAATCCACTTAAATAGGAAATGTTCTTACCCAGAATTTTTTTTCTGCTAGCAAGTGTCCCCCAATTCTGGATGCCTGGGCTGTTCTATTCCTCTCTGTAGCCGACAGACATTCAGAAATGTGGGAGACACTGGGCTACAAAACAGTGGAATTGCTCCAAGGATGAATTTGGCCCAGCATGCATGCAGCGCTACTTCTGCAGTTTTCCCCATCTGAGAGTACTTCAGAAATGAACACGGACACAGGCAATAAGATGCAGAAGGCCTCCATATGCCTTTAGTTAATTCAGCGTAAATCACTTGTCACAGTACTAACCAGAAACATCTCTGGGATCTGGAATAGTCCAAAGTGTAATTTTTTTTCCCTCAACAGCTTCATATCCTTCGAACACCTTATCCACTTCCATGGATTTGTGGATTAAACATTAGACTGGTACATCTATCATACCAATACAGCAAGTTATAATTTCACTTACAGATTATCTCAATATGGGTTTATTTTGGTTATTTATAGTAATCAGAACACTAAAATCAGAAAAGGGTTTAGAGGGTCTTTTTTAAATCATATCCTTTTTGTTGCCCTTCTTTGGTTGTTTATTTTTTTATTGTAAACACACAGGCTAAATGACTTTAGACAAACTAGGTGTAACTATTTAAATACTGGCTATTTTTCTCTCTCAGGCTTTGGGTACACTAACACATTTGTTGGTCAGGAATATAAAAAAAACCCACACCCTTGATCAGCATAAGTTTTACCAACAAAAGTGCTGGTGTGGACAGTGCTAGGTCAGTAGAGACCCCCTCCTGCTGACACAGCTACTGCTGCTTGTTGGGGGTGGTTTATGCTGGCAGGTGAACTCTCTCCAGCTGGTCTAGAGTTGCTACACAGGAGACCTTACAGTGGTGCAGCCGTGCTGCTGCTAAGGCAGGTATTGTAGACATAGCCTTAGTAAATGTAGAAATAGTTGTTTTCTTTACTCTAAGCAGTAAATGTCCCTACTGGTATAAATGTACAGTATTTTGTTTTGTTTTCAATAGAGCACTGAAGAGACAGCAGCAGAAAATAGTTTACGTCTTTTAAGGAAAAAACATAACAAACACAAAGGTTTGAGAAACCATTCATATTATTACAGCTCTTTGATGCTATCATAAATTGTACTGAAATGGCCAGTCTGGGGTCAGACATGCTGCAAAGCAGCTGAATCACAATCTTACCTTTCCTCCTTCTCTCAGTTAGCCAGTTCTCCACAGGCTAGCAAGGGAGAGGGATTCTGTTTTGCAGAACAGCTGTGTTATTTCAAAATTGGCAGAGGGTCATTATTATCCAATAAGAGTCGGTGGCTCCTCAGTGGTTATATAATCCCTCTATGCTGAGTGGGTGCTGGTCTCAGAACTCCTCATCCCTAGGCTCATAGCAAACATGGACGCCTCAGCTTCTGCCTACTCTCCTCCCTCCAGATATAAAAGTAGATTACAGTTAGCAAGGAAAATTACACTTAGCTGGAAAATTAACATTAGCCTCCTTTAAGGGGAAAGGAGGAGCAAATCGGGGGAGATATTGAGAAGGCTGCTATGATGTGGGCTTGTGGGGGCAGAAGGTAAGGTTACCATTGTAGGGGCTTTAAAACAACGAGCAGTCCTGTGGCACCTTAGAGCCATAAGTTATATAACACATTGGTGGGTGTTAGTCCTTAATTTTGCATTTTTTAGTCCTTAATTTTGTGTTGCAACGGGGCAGTGAGGGCCTTGAAAATCACCAAAAAACTGTTAACTAATTTATGAAAAACCCTGTTGTGGCTAACAGAATGAGGAGACTTGAGGCCAGTAACCAGTTAGGATTACAGGTGAGAGGATGTCAAGCCCATTTCAGTACAAAAACTATTCAAAGATGTTTCCCGTTACAGCTGGTTGGTAATGAGCTCCTCAAATGTTTTAGGTCACCATGCAATTATTACTTCAAAGGGAAGCACTATCTTTGAATAGTGGATGTACACTACATTATAAAATGCATTGTAATATGTGTGTTCTATTTTGATTTAGCACTTGTAATTGAATGTTTCTGTAGTAAAGCAAGTTGTCAAGCAGCCTGCTTAGTAAGTAGCATTCCTTTCCAATTCTTTATACTGCAAAAAAGCATTCTTGTAATTACGCATTGGGATTACTCTCCCAAATAATTAGAGTATGTCTGTGTTTACCTGGTATCAGCGCTATAGTGATCAATCCACCAGGATTGATTTACTGGGTCTAGTGAAGACCTGCTAAATTGACTGCAGAGCGCTCTTAGAGATATTCAGGGTTAACTAGTTAACCACTTACCCAGTAAGCATGAGCCTTACTGGCGTGCTGTGGACAGGAGAGGTGGGGGCTGTGCCACCCAGCAAGGCCAACCATGCCATGTGGGTGGGGAGCTGCTCCAGCCCAGTTGGGCCAACTGCACAGGCAGGAGGGTGCTCCAGCCTGACCGGGCCAGCTGTGCCCTGAGCGGCAGATGGTCCAGTCCAGCTGGGCTGAAGCAGCACGCTGGTGTGCAGCAGGCCCTTCCCAGCCTGACCAGAGCAGCCCCCACCCGCACCGCGGTGGGCTTGACCCAGCCTGTCCAATGCAGCTCCCCGCCACAGGCTCACAGTTAACTAGTTAAACATTCCGTTTAACCATTTAACTTTTTAACCAGAATTTTACATCCCTAATTGATCTCCTGTTGACTCTAGTGCTTCACCAGAACTAGATGTGTAAGGTAAGTCAATGGGAGTGTTTCTCCCGTTGACCCAGAGAGGTGTAGACACCACAATAATTCATCCTAATCTATGTCAACTCCAGCTATGTTATCCATGTAGCTAGAATTGTGCAATTTATTGTAGGACCAGGCTTGAGAGATTTTGTATTTGAAAAAAGGGTTGTAAGGCAAAAGTGGCATTTACCTACTATGTATGGTGGCTAAATTCATTGAGTTTGAAATACATTCCCATTTTTTTTTAAATTATACCAATCTGTATTACTCCTACAACTGTCTTTCAATTATCAGAAGACCCTCATAAAAATACTGGAATATTTTATTTGTACATTTTAAGACATCCTGTATAATAAGCAGAACTGCTTCCTTTCTCTCAAATTCTCCCCAATAAGAATATATATATACATTAGTCTTTTAACTGGCACTTATTCCTGTAATTTATTTTCCACCTGAAGTCCTAATTCTTAGAGCTGCATCCTCATAATCCTCTTCACAATCACTGATGTCAAAATGTAAGATCATGATTTAAGATGCCAAAAAAACCCTGCAGGAGCAAATGACCGTAGAAAAAACAGCCTCTTTTCATGAAAATGTTGTGCGAAGAAACAAACACAGAGCGAATAGTAATTTTTTGTTTTTGGCATGTTGTCCAAAGTTGCTTATAAGTGTTCAGCAGCTCTTTTAATTGAGAACCCTTGCTTTAATCATGGGATTTGTTATACCATCTCCAGAGGTCTTTATTCAAGCCTTTCAAATAAAGACACAATTTATCGTTTTTCAAAACAAAGGAGGTTCACACTTTAATACAAAGTATACATACACGTGCCTCCTAGCCTTTTTAGCATAATTGATGACTGTTCTGCTGCCCTAACACAGACTAAGAAAAAATAGTACATACATTTTTCTAGTTATTCCACAGCCACAAAGTTGACATATAAAGTAGACCTGCAATAAGGCAAATTAATTAAAATTAGAACAACCAGAAATCTGCATGAATAGCCATGACTGTAGTTTTTTAGCTGTTGTCCAAATCACATCCAGAAGAGGGCGAATAGGAGCTGCTACAGTTGTGTAAGGGGCTTCTAGATACTGCAGTGACTGTGCTGAAACACAATTTCAGTAAAAGTGCGTGTTCTATATTTTTACAGGAAAAATAGACTTTTTTAGGAAGTGCAAGCAGGCTGGACTCCTGGATGGCATATTTAAAGAGATGCTAGACACACTTCAACTTGCAAAGGAAAAACTGATGGATGACAACACTTCTGAAACAGGTACTGGAAACAAACAGGAGCTCTGCTTTCGATAGAGATTCTGAGCTGAGCCATTTAATTCTTAATACCTTTAGCTTTGAGTCATGCTCATCTTTTTGGAGCTCTGAATGGTTTGAGTGTTGGTTACTTAAGAGACTCTCTTTTATTCTGCTATACTACTATAGTAGGGTGTTAGTGACATGAGAGGAAAGAGCTGCCAATAACTCATTCTCTGTGAAAGTGCCTCAAATCTGGCATTTTTTAATCAAGCTCCTTCCACCAACATACATACACAGAGCTTAGGCTGCCAGATACTGGGTACACTGCAAGATGTACTAGACATTTAAAGAGGAGGGTGTTTGAGGGTTGTGAAGATTTTATCTCGACTTGGGTTCTGCTTTATTTGACCAGAGAGTGATCAGCACTTTGTGTTAAATATAGTTACAGTATATGAAAAAAATGCATAAAATGTGTTAAGTCAGGGTTTTGAAACAGTGATTTGTACAAAACACTTTTCTTGAAGCAGTCCCCCTAGCTTTATAAATTCATGGAGAAAGCCTGGCACTGAACTATAATTTAACTATATTATAGTAATAAACCCCATTTAAGGATGTTACAAAGTTGCTTCATGCATTTAGAAATGTAAACAATTTTTAGGCTCTTTTACTGGACACTTTCATGTCATGTGATTTGCAAATAGCAATTAAATTGGTTGCCAGACACTTCTATCATATGGTCCCAGAAGTGTTGCAATAAACTAGATTTTAAAACTGATTAAATACATTACATGAACTTGGTTACCAGACAAACAGGCCCGATTTAAATGGGCCTGTATTGAAGTGGTACAGACTGTATGTAAAACATAATGAGAATCCCATTTATATCTTATGGGCCATTGAAAATTTGTGAATCAGGATTGTGAAATGGACACTTCTGCCTTGGTATAAAAATAGCAGAACGGAGGTTAGTATTTTTCCCATTATTCTAACTTTCTGAGCTTAAAGCCTCATAGCTAAAACAACTTGTGTAATGAACAGATTGGTAAATATAATTGTGCATTTTTAAAGTTTAAGTTGACAGTAAATCAACTTTTTTTTCCAACCCCTAGAATACGAGGAAACAGTAATATCACTTTTTGACTGTAGCCTGTTTGAAAATGTACTTACAAATGTTCATTCAGGTATGTAAATGTATATATGCTACTATATTAAGTAATTCTCCCATACGAGTAATTTTTAGAATTAAAGTTATTTTTCAAAGCTCTATAGCACACTTCCTTAATGTTGTATGGATACCCAGGTGCAATCATTGGCATCACTATCCCCAGTAACATAAGTCAACAGCTCTGTCTGTCTGATTTAAAGCAGGACATGAAGGCTCTGTATGGTTTTAACAATTTGAGTATCAAGAACCTCTTCTGACTTCTTGATTCAGTGGACCCTGCCTCTCTCCTACATGACGTACTTATATCACAGGATTTCCCAGCGGTTTGGGTTTTGTCCTATATTTCTCCAAGGCCCTTATTCAGCCATTCATTTTAGATAGAACTCAGATCTTTCAGGCTGACTGTTTAAACAGGTCTTTCTATTTTCCTGATTCCAACAGTTAGCTCATAGAACTCCATCCGCTTCAAATGATATATATGTAGTAGTGGTGCAAATAGTAAGGATATTAGTAAGGGCAGTAGTAAGGGTCTGCTACCGGCTGAATCAATGGGCAGCGATCGATCCAATGAGGGTCAATTTTTACAGAGTGTAATATAGACACGATGAATCAACTGCAGATCACGCTAGTGTAAATTCCAGTACTCCACTTCAATGAGAAGTACAAGAGAGTCGACTGACAGAAGAGTGTCTCTTGTCCACACAGTGCAGTGACGACATTGCTGTAACCAGATCTAAGTATGGGAACTTCAGCTGAACTTGTGTAACTTAGATCAATCTTGCCCAGTGACATAAATCAGCCCTGAGATTCTTTGAAAGAAGCCTAAAAGGGCAGAGGGAAAGGAATGAAAATGGGGAAATTAAGGGGAAGATAGTTGAGAAGGCAGAAGTGTATTGGAAGGGATATGTTCTCCTTCTGCTGTGCATTTGTTAATGCATCTATAGAAACAACCAATTTTGAAAACAGTGCATCAAGGAGAATACACGGGTGTGTGTTTTGGGCCTACACAGTCTCTGTGCGCACACAACCTTGTGCTTTGATAATGAAGATAGATGCTTTGGAAACTAATGCTGGAACACATGCATCCACATGAAGGCTGCTCTTAGAAACTTTGGCCCTTTCCATTGCTTTTCCTTCAGTTTTAACTTTCTCCACTGGATAGAATCTGACCATATGGCATTTTGAAACAATCATGGAAGATCCCTTATTCCTCTTAAAATCAGGAATAAGGGATCTTCCGGAAAAAGCTTTATTTTCCAAAAGATCCCGTCTAGACTGGCGCTTTTCTCTAGCAAACCCCGGAGCCGGAAAAAAGCGGCAGCCATGTTCATGCAAATGCCGCGGGGGATATTTAAATCCCCCGCGGCATTTGCAATTCCAACTTGTCTCATTAGCATCTCTTTTCCGAAAAAGGGTGCCAATGTAGACACAGACTATGTATTCCCCACTCTTCCACAGTTCAGCAACTCCAGTGCTTATATTGATTTTATTCAAATAAAGTAAAAATACCACCTTTTGGTAGAGACCAACCATAGTAGTGGTTAGCTTAAGGAATTTTGTTTGAGAAAGGTATGAAGATTTAATATTAAATCACAACTTTTACTTAAAGCCAGAGATAACACTCTCTTGTTAAATTATATGAATATGCCTATATTTATGTTCTTTACTGTGAACAGTGCTTTTTGTTTTGTTATTACAGGAACAGAGAAAAAACTTCAGGAGCTTCTGGAAACACGGAAAAAACTGGATACCCAGATTGAACTACTGAAAGATTTAAAAGAAGTCATTCCTTTCCAGGAAAATATAGCTAGTGCATCTAGTTCAGTGTCTGAATAACCAATACTTACTTCTCTCTATATCAATTCCATATTAAAGATTTTCTACTCATGGTCAATGTATAAAAGAGATTTGTTGAGGGCACACAAGAAACAATTAGGTGGTTTATTCATGTTTTATACCTCACTTTTGCAATAACTTTGTTATTTGTCCTTTTCCTTTTCAATTTTGTGTGGTTTAAAGAGTGTTAAAATTTAAAATCCTTCTGTACAAGGTTTTTTTTTTAAGTACTCCACAAGCCACTTTTTAAAATAATTTCAGTTACAGCAGCCCCTATCATGTGATTTATCTGTGATTCAATGTCTGCTTATTAGAGACAGCAGACAAAATAATTGTTAAGGCTTTCCAAAGAAGAATTAACAAGACTTGCACTTGAAGAAGCCTTCTGAGTTCGAAGAAGCAGAAGGTGTTTTTTATTATGCTTTCTCATTTTATGGTTCGCGTAAGCAATTCTGTTTTAACTTCAGTGGAGAGAGGTGGTATCCTTTAGTTGCTTGCAAACACTTAAGGATGGCTGGTGATCACCCTCTGAAAAATCATTTATGTAAAATAGTTAGGGAGTCAAGTACTACAGTAAGAACATTTATGGCTTCCATGTGTTATTTTGTCTTAAGATTATAATATTAATTGTTTAAATACAGAAAAGCAGAACATTTAGCTACAGAATTGCAAGGTAATGAAAAACTTGACAATAAAATGTTTTTTGTAAAGAAAGCTGTGTGTTGAGGAAAACTAGTAACAAAAAACAGTTTATGCACCAAAATATTTGTGTTTACAGTACAGCCCTGTAGTTTCCTGTGGCTAATCCACAGCTTTACCAGTTCTCAAAAAACCCTTGGCTTCATCTAGGAATGTTAAATTTTGATTAATCAAATAGTTGATGGGATTTCCATCGACTATTCCATTAGTCGATAAGAACTAGCATGTTCTGCCTTTGAAATGTGCAAGAGCCCGAGTGGAGGCTCTTGTACATTTCAAAACAGAAGCGCCACATGGAGCCTGGGGTCAGTGGAGGAGTCTGAGTTTTCCGCTGACTCTGCCCCCCGCTGATCCCAGGCTCCACATAGCGCTTCTGCTTTGAAATGCACAAGAGCCCTCACTGGGGCTCTTGGCATTTCAAAGATTGAAATGCCACGTGGAACTGGGGCCAGCAAGGAGTCCTCTGCTAACCCCCAGTTCCATGAGCGCTTCCACTGTGAAATGTACAAGAGCCCCAGCGGGGACTCTTGTACATTTCATCATTGGAAAGCTGCCGCTGTGCCCCTGCCCCCTCCCACAGAGCTGGAGCTGGGGGGAACCAGCTTTTAAACCAGCTTTGCCCCAACACTCCCTCCTCTTACCCCGCCATTGCTGCCTCTTTGTGATAGAGGCAGCAAGAGGGGGGAACTGACTAGTCGACTAGTGTGTCGAGTATCCAATAAGCTTTTGCTTACATCCCTAGATTCATCATACTTCAGAGCACAGCTGTAACAGAAGATGCAGTACAATAGGAGATTCATAGTAAGATTTTTTCTTAAATATACTCAAGAGCCTTTGCTGCCTTACTACGAAATACATGAAATTAAACTACTTAAAAATAAAATATCTCTTGGTGCATTTAACACTTCACTTACTGTTATATAAAGTTAATAATGCACTCTGTCATTAGTGCAAATTAATATTTTTATTGTCAGCCAAAATATGTTGCAAGAGTCCTAAAGTCACAGATTAATATTTCCAAATAACTAGACAATCTATCAAAGTCTTTCATCTCTCCCTTCTAGGGAAAAGCTACTAGAAATGCTAGATCAGGGTGTGAGGAAACTTTTTGGGGATCAAGGGCCGCTGACCCACAGAAAAATCAGTCGGGGGCCGTGCACAGCTGAGAAGCAAAACAAAAACTTAAACAAATCCTCACTGATATGGTCCCCAACTGCTGAGGAGAAAAACGCTTCCTACATTTCCCTTGCACACCAGAACCTGGGGCGGGGGACTCAGCCTAGTAGATTTTGTGTGCTCTAGTCCAGCAGTGGGGGAACTGGAGCACCAGCACAGGCTCCCCAACGCTGGAGGGGCCCGGAGTCTCGGGAGGAGGGGGCAGATTTATGTAAGCCAGGGGTCCCCTGGGCCTGAGGTTCTCCATCCCTATGCTAGATAGTATAGTATCGAGCAAATGTACACCCTATCTGTGTTCATAGCTCTATTTTTATCTTGTGCTAATCTGAATTTAGACTGGGGTTTTCAAAAATGCCTAGCAGATGGGATCCCAAATCCCATTAATTTCAAATGTGGGTTGGGCACTTAGTGCCCTAAACCTTTTTTTAGAAATCTAAGTCTTGCTCTCCTGGTACAGTGGTTGGCTTTCAAATGTACACTGTGCAGTTATATTAATGCAAGTATCCCAGGTGAGGGGCAAAGCTGTACCCCAGCAGTTTGTGTGGTGTTGCAGCTACTTAGAGCAAAGCTAGCAGATAGAAATGTGCAGGAGCTAGAAATAATACATGCAACTCCATACAGTTGCACTCACAGTAGCAACAACTTGGATAATACTATGCAATATCATTTGCAAACTTGCTTAAGCAGTCTAAGAGTGTAAGAGTATTGAATTTCTGGAGGACTTAGGCTCTTTACCAGATTTGAAAACAGAATTTTATCCAGTGTTAGTCACAACATATTCACACACCACAGCCTAACAGCAACTCAGTTCATAGGGACGGGCTGCCTAGTCTAAGCCCCTCAACCTGAAGGGAAGAGCAAGGGCCATGGTAAGCTCTAGAACCTCTGCCTTTCCAGGATTACTGGACTTTTTTTTTCCTTTGGAGACACCTGTGTGAACTAACCCATGCAAACAAATTTTAAAAGACAAGATTTTTAGTAGTATTAAAAAAAAAAACTGGTTAAACATGTATATTTGCATTTAGCTGAACTCATAGGATTCTCAGTTTAGACAGGGAAAAAGTGACACAACCCTTTTTCTGACCACTCTGATTTTCCTGTCAGTGACAATAGCTGCCCAGATAGCAGCTGCCCTTTCGCTGCCTCTAGAACTTGCTTTTCAAAACCTTGTCACCAGGTCAGCTTGTATGTCCAGACATGACTCTCCCAAGGTGTCCCTCATACGTCTGTTACTGTAGCAGGTAGGTTTTATTAACATTTACAAAAGAAGCCTTTGGACAGAAAACCCATGAATGATGATTAACAGTGGCCTTTCAAAGGCTTAGTTTCCCCACTGCCAGCGCCTTTAGCTGCAGTGGGAACGGTTCCAATAGCAGGACAATACACTGCTAAAAGTAGCCGTGTAGATGGGAGAAGCTCTGCTAGGCAGAAAGAACCAACCACGTAAAGTACAGAGCCTAGGGTTCAGGCCTGTAAGGCATTCTGTTCCCCTAAGCCAGTGGTTCCCAACCTTTTGTGGCTGATGGGTGTCTCGGGGCGGGGCCACTCGTGCCACACGCCCGGGGTAGGGGTCACCCACGCACCTGGGGCCGCCACTGCGCATGTGCCGCACACCGGGGGAAGGGGACCACCCACGCGCCCTAAGCCCAGGGCTGGCACCGCGCATGTGCCATGCGCCAAGGGGGTGGCAAGCCCAGATGTTTCAGCGGGAGCACACCTCTCTCCATTGAAGTTAAAACAGAATTGCTTGAAATGCGGTGCCCAGAACTGGACACAATACTCCAATTGAGGCCTGATCCGAACAGAGTAGAACGGAAGAATGACTTCTCATGTCTTGCTCACAACACACCTGTTAATACGTCCCAGAATCATGTTTGCTTTTTTTGCAACAGCATCACACTGCTGACTCATTCAGCTTGTGGTTCACTCTGATCCCTCTTTCTGCCGTACTCCTTCCTAGGCAGTCGCTTCCCATTCTGTATGTGTAAAATTGATTGTTGCTTCCTAAGTGAAGCACTTTGCATTTGTCTTTATAAAACTTCATCCTGTTTACCTCAGACCATTTCTCCAATTTGTCCAGATCATTTTGAATTATGACCCGATCCCTCCAGAGCAGTCACAACCCCTCCCAGCTTGGTATCATCTGCAAACTTAATAAGCGTACTTTCTATGCCAATATCTAAATTGTTGTTGAAGATATTGAACAGAGCCGGTCCCAAAACAGACCCAGGTGGAACCCCGCTTGTTATGCTCTTCCAGCAGGATTGTGAACCATTAATAACTACTGAGTACGGTTAGCCAGCCAGTTACGTACCCACCTTATAGTAGCCCCATCTAAGTTTTATTTGCCTACTTTATTGAGAAGAATATCATGTGAGACCGTATCATAGAATCATAGGACTGTAAGGGACCGCGAGAGGTCATCGAGTCCAGCCCCCCGCCTAAGTAGTTTGTTCCAGTGCTCAACTATCTGACAGTAAATGTTGCCTAACATCTAATCTAATCTCCCTTATTACAATTTAAACCCATTATTTCTTGTTCTGGCATCAGTGGATGAGTAGACTTTATCACTTTTCCCTCTTTAGAACCATTTTTCATGTACTCAAAGATTGTTATGTTGTCCCTCAGTCTCCTCTTCTGCATACTAAAACCCACGCTTTTTCAGTCTTTCCTCAAATGATGTAGGGCAGTGGTCACCAACCAGTAGATCAGGAACTAATGGTAGATTTTGGAGCCTCTGACAGGTGATTCCGACTGGTTTGGCCAAGAGGCTATCAAGTGCCAGCACTTCAGCTGCCCTCCCCCTCCCTGCTGCTCCTCTCCTGTCCTTTGCCTTGGAGCTGCCCCCCCCCCCCCTTTTTGTGTTGTGTGAGGAGGGGGTGCTGATGTCAGGGTGCCCCCCTCTCCCACCCTGTATTCTATTTCCACAGAACAGAAGTGGGGGGCACAACAGGGCTTTGGAGGGAGGGAGTTTGCTGGCTGCCTTGGGAGTGGTGCAGATCCAGGGCAGTGGTGAGCCTGCCTTAGCCCCACTGCACCACCACCCAGGAGCCACCTGAGGTGAGCTGTGTCCAGCTGGAGCCAGCTCTGAACACCTGCCCCAGTCATAAACCCTCTCCTGCACCCCAACTGCCTGCCCTAGGCTCAGTTCAGAGCCCTTCTCACACTCCAAATCACT